GGGAAAGAGGAACGCAGCAGTTGCCAAGGCGAGCCGTACCCAGTAGTGATTGGCAGCCGCAAAGGCAGACGGTGCCTTCTGGGGTCCCCCGCTCCGCGCCAGATTCCAATTGTTGAGGTGGCAGAGCAGAGAGGGGCAGACAATAGAGTTCATGGCACACACAGGGCATGAGAAAACAAGCCAAATATCTCTCTCCTAACACCTCTCAGTTATTTCCTGTTATCAGTCTTTGTAACAGCTCCAATTTCCTGTTTGTGTTTCCTGTAGTCTTCATAATTTTACGCATTTTATTTGGAATTATTATACACTCTTAGTAGAAAAATTTTGTGATTCACATGTTGAACGTGTAAAATTAGACTGCGGTGACTTGTCAATGTTATGTATTTATATGCAATCTGATAAATTCATGTGAATCTGCCATTTCATCTTTTTGCAAGCTCATATTTTGAATGATTATTTGGGTTACAGTACATTAATCTCTCCGTCTCTCTCTCTCTCTCTCTCTCTCTCTCTCTCTCTCTCTCGTAGTGGTGTGGGTTTGGCAAGAGCCCATTATGAGAAACAGCCTCCCTCGAACCTGCGCAAGTCAAACTTCTTTCACTTCGTTCTGGCTCTGTATGACCGGCAGGGACAGCCCGTCGAGATCGAGAGAACCTCCTACGTGGACTTTGTGGAAAAAGACAAAGTAAGCACTCTGTCACTAATAGACGCCGCTACACAACGCAACAGGATTTGTGATATGCTGGGGTGTTGCATATTGAACTTAGAGAACATGCTAAGAATGTACCGTATAATGGTATAATTGTTTTTAGATGCACGTTTAGTAAATAAAAAGGTCATGCCAAGTTAGAATTAAGCTTAGAAATAATTCTGATGCAGCAGAAAAGTTTAAATAGATCTTTCATTTAGAAAAAAAAGAGGGACGTACAATTTTACTCCCAAGATTTTACTTCATCTCACACTTTGATTAGTTTCATTATTGTTGCACGGGTCAAATTCGTTCTTTAGATATATTTTAGATGTGTATCTGATTCAAGTTGCTTAAAAAAGTAAAAAAAAAAAAAAAGGTAATAATATAAACAATATGTAAATTAATTAATACTCATTGATCATGCATACTGATTATTTGGAAAAAATCAAAACAAAAACAAACAAACAAAAAAAAAAAAACCCTGAACATTTTCCAAACCCTCTGCAACAATTTTTAATGTTTACATACTTTCAGATACATTTCAGATACATTTCAGCAATATATCTGAATGTAGTTTTTTTAGGTTAAAAAAAAAAAAAAAAAAAAAAACATCTTTTGATCATATGCACATTCTTTATTCGAAATATTTCCTAAAAATTTTTTTTATTTGTTTTTAATTTGTGTGTTGTTTGTTTTTTTTTATTTCATCAATATAAAAAAATAAATATGGTTAGAAATATTGGTAAGATACTCTATATTTTAAATCTATTCTATATTACATTATATGTCCCTGCTTTATGCAGTTGCATTGTGTATATGTGAGATCTAGTTCAGGGTATCAAACTCACATTATCACACAGAGTTGTGATTCTCAGTAGTAGCGGTACCAGGTAGTACATCTAGGGGGCACCGATGAGACCACCTTTTTGTCATAAGAATTGCATTGACATTATATTTAATGTCTTTTTTTCCCAAATTAAATATATTATAAAATACCCAGCGTTTCTAACAGAGGATCGTTGTTTGGCTTATTTTTGCCCCATGTTATTTTGTTCTTTGCTTATCCTTTGAGTGCGATTCTCAGGGTCAGCATCATGGGAATAAATCTCGCTCTTTCCCAAAGTATTCCTCTAAAAATTGCCTTTTCACAGTACCGCTATAGCTCCATTCTGGAGTGTAGTCATGTGTTTGTACCTGCTCACCCCGCGGTGTGTGTGTCGGGGGGTTGTTCTCAGTAAAAGGTTACAGAGAACAGCTCCGCCCACAGTCATACGGGACGGGGTCCAGCTGGCACGGTCAGTGCTCTGTCCTCGCTGTCCGGTCACCTCCTCCATAACCCCCCACACACTCCTCCACTCCACCCTGGGTCGCTGCCAAGACACTACCACTAAACTTGGCAGTGAGGAGATAGAGAAAGACTGACGACATGTGTGAGTGTGTCGTGTTCCTGCGTCACATTGGATTGATGTCACATCAGGGTAAAATAACTCTCCTGAAGCCTGGATGTGATGATTAAATGTAAACCTCACAATTAGTCCAAAGAGTGAAACCAAACTGGGCTCACATTTGGATGCACTACAGTTCTTTTGCTGTGATTATTAGAAAGTGAATGATTTTGAATTTCTCATTAGAGATTATAAATTAGCCTTCAAACTAACTTTCAAATTTGTAAAAATCCAAATTCTAATTGGTTTCATAAAAGCACCCCTTTTGTAGCTATATATCAATTTACACTATTGTTCAAAAGTTAGGTGTCAGTAAAATTGTTTTTAAAAGAAATTAATACTTTTATTCAGCAAGGATGCATTAAATTGATCAAAATGACTGTAAAGACATTTATAATGTCATAAAATATTTTTATTTCAAATAAATGCTGTTCTTTTGTACTTTCTATTCATCAAGAATCCTAAAAAATGTAACATGGTTTCCACAAAAATATTAAGCAGCACATTTTTATTCGACATTGATAATACTAAGAAATGGTAATACTAAGAAATCAGCACATACGAATGATTTCTGAAAGATCATGTGACACTAGAGACTTGAGTAATGATGCTGAAAATTCAGCTTTGCCATCACAGGAAAAAAATTACTTTTTAAAATATTTTAAGATAGAAAACAACTACTTAAATTGTAATAATATTTTACAATAGTACTGTTTTACTTTACAAATTTACCATATTTTTGATCAAATAAATGTAGTCTTGGTGAACATAAGAGTCTTGACAAAATGTTAAAAAATATTACCAACCCCAAACAGTTGACCAGTTGTGAATAGATGTATAAAAAAAGTATATAGAAAAATGGATAGTCAAACCTGAATAAATAAAACACATAGTTGTGAATGTCTTTAGTTGTAGTTTTTGCTAATATTGTCATCATTGTTGCCACAGGACATTGGTTCCAAAATGAGTCATTATCAGCAGTGAGTCACAATTCAGATCTGAAGGTCAACATGCTGAGATTGACCATTATGTCTTGATGGTCAGTGTCTTAATAGATGACAATTTCGTTTTTATTCTCATAAATTGTCCTGCTTGCTTGTGCATTCTTTTAGGAATACAATGGCGAGAAGACCAACAATGGCATCCACTACAGGTTACAGCTTCTCTACAGCAACGGTGAGACCCATACTGCTCCTGCAAACCCTTTCCATATCCCATCAATAACAAAGACATATTGCGAGGCAGAGCGGGGCCAACTGTAAACGATATGTAACCACAATCATGCAACATGTCTCATCACATCTGGGAGAGTATTTGAGAGCTCCATCTGTTTATCCTGAGAGGAGTTCATACTGTTGAACACATTTGCCACCCTTTCACAGTTTACGCTCATGTCATTCCACGCTACTCACCCACACAGACACGTTAAACAAGGTCTCATTTGAGCTCTTAGTTCTTAGTAAAGTACACACACACTGGCTACATTAAGAGCAGGTACAATGTTACACTTGTCAATATTAGCGATTTAAATTG